TACCTACAACCACTACAGTACCTGTTCATAGGCACATTCTTTGCTGGCTTTTCTGTTTTCCTGTCTTACTCTCCCTGCTCCCTCACCTGTTCTTCCTGAGTTTCCCATCTAAACATACAACATTTACCTAAGTTTTATCTCAGTATGATTCTGGAGGGAGTTCAATTTAAGGCTCACATACTACAAGGTTTTTCTAAGGATTGGTAATAACACTTACAAATATACCTAGAAAAGTGCCTGGTACATTTTAGCACCCTTGAAGTGATATTATACACATGCCAGAATTACTAGCTGAAGTTCATTACTAGACATTGTGCTAAGCCTATTTTGTAGGTTATCTCTGATTTGCTTACTAATTCTACAATATAAATATTTATTTTCCTGCTTTTACTGATGAGTAAACTTTAAGTGATATCATCAGCCTGACACAACTAGTACTTGCCAAAGTTAATATATGGACCCAAGTCTACTTGAAATCAAAATCAGTATTTTTGGTATTATACTATGTGTTCTTGTTTTAAAAAAATTAGTTAGCATGCCCTCCAGATTCACCCAAGTTGTCACAAATAGCAGAATATACTTCTTTTATGGCTGAATAATATTTCATTACATATAGATAAAGATATAGATACCATTTTTTCTGTATCCATTTATCCATCAAAGGACATTTAAGCTGTTTCCACATCTTAGCTATTGTGAATAATGCTGCAATGAAGCTGATCTTACAGAAACAGAGAAAATAATGGTGGTTGCCTGAGGCTGAGGGAAGGGGAAATGAGGTGATGTAGGTCAAGGGGTACAAATTTTCAGTTTTCAGTTCTGAGCATCTAATGTACAGCATTGTGACTACAGTTAATGAACACAGTATCGTACACTTGAAAATTCCTGAGAACAGATCTTAAGCATTCTCACCACAGGGTGGAGAAAAAGAGTTAACTATGTTAACTATGTAAGGTGATGAGTGTGTTCATTATTTTCATCCTGGTAGTTATTCTACAATAAACATGTATATCAAATTATCACATCATACACTTTAAACATGCACAGTCATATTTGTCAATTATTCCACAATAAAGTTTAAAAACCAAAGTCTATCAGCCATCTAAATATCTTTTTTAAAAAGTCAGATGAGGTATTAATCTAAAACCCCTGATTTCTAATGTGGCCATAGCATATTTTCATACTGTGCCAAGAATAAAGACTATTATATTTTCTTTCAAAAGAAGTAAAGCATTAATTTAAAAGATTATACAAGTAAATGTAATAAAACTCCATTGGGAGAATTAAAATTAAAAGTTTTAAGTTTTTATTTCCATTGTTTTAAAATGATATATAAACTGATCCATTTCTTTATTTCACTGTCCCTTTTTCATGCCACAGTAATTTAATACAACATACTAAATATCTCAAGCTAACCAATTAACTTGAAGTATAAATTGCAATGTACTTCTCATATTCAATATACATAGATGCATGTCAATCATGAAATAATACTCAAATTGCATATGATGCCTATAAAACATAGTGTTTATTTTGATGGCTTATTTTAAAATAGGTAGACAATTTTTTCACTTTTATTTATCATAAAACATTTTCCTATATAACTTAACACCTAATGAGAAATTCTCAACAATATATTATTCATATGTTAAGAATATAATAAGGAGATATGTATATGCAATGATTAAAAGTATGGCTTTTGGAGCCAGGAAATCTTCAGTTTCAAAATCAGCTATACCACCTGTCAATTATGCAACTCAAAGTGAGTACATCTCTGAGCATCAGTTTCCTCATGTACAAAGAGATATAATACCTCTGGGGGGTTTAATGTGTATTAAATGAGATAAACCATGAATATCACTTATTATAGAATAAGGCAAGCAACAAGTAATAAAGTGATAATTTTTATTGTTTTTCCCCTTAATGTTCTTCTTGCTATTAACACTAAATTTTTATTGAAATGTAAAAGTATTTGTATTAATCTTAAATCTCACTTTATAAAGATCATTTTGTTCACTGTCCTTCCTCATTTTTACTTTCTCCAGTTCTCTCTCCCTCTCCCTTCCTTCTGGGACTCCCACAATGCGTACACTGATCTGTTTTAATAGTATCCCATAAATCCTTTACACTTTCTTCACTCTTATTCATTCTTTTTAATTTTTGTTTCTCTGATTGAATTATTTCCAATGATGTGTATTCAGATCCACTGATCCTTTCTTTTGCTTTAATTTGCTTTTGAAGCCCTCTAGTAAATTTTTTCAGTTCAGTTCCTATGTCTTCAGCTTCATTCTTTCTATTTGGTACTTTGGGTATTATCTATCTCTTTGTTGAAATTTTCACTTTGTTCATGAAATGTTTCCTTGACCTTGGTAAACATTTGTTGACAGTTATTTTGAATTCTCTATCAGGTAAATAATATAATTCTATTTCATTAGAATTGGTTTCTGATAGTACACTAGGTGCTGGAGAACAAAAATTAATAAGAAACCATCCCTGGTTTCCAGGAATTTTCAGTATTAAGGAAAAAAGAAAGAGAGAATTAAATGATTGCAATGCAATAAGGACTAATATAGAAGAGGCCTGTAAATCACAGAAGAGGTTCCTATAAATACAGAGGTAGAGACAGCCAAACCTGCCTGAGAGGGACTGTTTCTCAAGGGAAGAAATGCTGGACTGAGGCTGAATTAACATTTAACCAGGTAGAGAAAAGCATCTGGGGTACAGAGAAAACAGTATCTTCAAAAGGTACAAAGACTTGAGAGAAGTTGGTGGATTAGGGAATAGCAAGCAATTAAATACGGTTTTTTCATTAAAGCTATCAGAAAATTAATCTTTCCCCATCTTTCTGTTACTTAAATTACTTCATTCAACAAATAAATTCAATGTTAACTTAGTGCTTAGTTTTGTAAGCACTCTGCTTGGTTCTGTGGGAGAACATGGATTAATCAGACTCACATTCTTCCTGCAGCATGTTATAATCAAGAAAAAGAGAACAAAAGAGTTTTTAAAAATCATACTAAGTGTCAGGTGTCTCAAAGAGAGATAGAATTAAGGTGGTGTAGCTGTTTTCCCAAGGGAAATAATACTTAAAAGAGAAGAGTATATGGAAAAAAAACAGATCAGGGATTCATAGGAGAGTTCACATTTGACCTGCAGACCTCATTTCTCATAAGAAAAACAGATTAATTATCCACTACTTCAGGGAAAGGTAATGTGCTAGGCACTTTACATATTCCACAACTGTGAAAGAAAAAAAATGGAGGCTTATAGAGGCTTATCTGTAGGCAATATACTTCATTCACATGAAGTGAGCCCTCCATATCCTTGGGTTCCACATCCATATATTCAACCAACTGGAAATTGAAAACTTTTTTTAAAATCCCAAAGTTCCAAAAAGTAAAACTTGAATTTTCCACACACTGACAACTACTTACACAGCATTACATTACACTAGGTATTATAAGTAATCTGTCCTGTATATGACAACATATACAGGAGGATATGCATATGTCATACACAAATATTATATCATTTTGAAAAAGGGACTTGAATATCTGTGGGCTTTGGCATCCACGGGAGTCCTGGAACCAATCCCCCACCCCACCCCAGGTACTGAGGGAACAACTGCATAAGATTCAAAGACAGTATAAGACATTGTTCCCAATTGTGTGTTCAGGTATGACTGAAAGGACAAGACTACAATAGTGTGTTATGGACTGAATTATGTCCCCTCAAAATTCATATGTTGAAGTCCTAATACCTAGTACCTCTGAATGTCACTCTACTAGGACATAGGGCTTATACAGAGGTAATCAGGTTAAAATGAGGTCACTAGAATAGGCTCTAATCCAGTATGACTGGCATCCTTATAAAAAGAAAACATTTAGAGACAAACAAACACATAGGGAAAACGCCATGTGAAAATGAAGGCAGAAATCAGGATGATGCCTCTAAAAACCAAGGAACACCAAAGACTGCTAGTAAATCACCAGAAGCTATAGAGTCATTGGGTAGATTCTTTCTCACAACCCTTAGAAGGAACTAACTCTGCCAACACCTTGATCACAGACTTTCATCCTCCAGAACTGTGAGACAATAAATATCTATTGTTTAAGCCAGTCAGTTTTTGGTTCTTTATAATGGCAGCCCTAGCAAACTAATAAAAACATAGAATAAACAAAGAGCAAAAGCCTGCATAAACAAGTTTTATATTGAAATATATTTGATTTACAATGTTAACAAGTTTTCAATTATTCGTTTAAAAAATTACTCATTATTCTTAGGTTTTCGAGAACTGTCATGTAACTAGCATGTTGCTTCAATCACATACACATACACACACACATGCACATTCAAAAGCAAAAATAATAAACAATTATTTTTGAAGTGAAATTATGTTTACCTTTCTCATTAATATTTGCAACATATTCTGAATACCTACCATTTGCCTATATGCCATTCAGAGTATAAGGTTCAGATATAAAGAAGCTAACAAAATCCAATTACTGCTAGATGGAAATTCACAATCAAGCCCTGATCTTCCCTTTCAGAATACTTACAGCATTTGCTGTTTATGAAGTATATTACTTTTGCTATTTTGTGTTCAACTGAATCTATTCTTTAATTGCTTTTTTATAGAGAAGCTTCCTTTCACAAAGACTGAACCAGGCACATAGTAGATATTCAATAATTAATGATTTATCAAGTAGTCAAATTATGTCAGTTTTATCCCCAAAGAAATAATATCTGGGTAACCATTTGATAAAATACAAGGTACTGTATAAATGTTCATTAGTATTACCATTATGCTTCTAATCACTTGTAGCAACAAAAACATAGCATTTCATTTTTAAGTATTTCCAAGTCAATTCCTTCAAAAACTAATTTTTTTCTGACAACTTGTTTCATTATGGTAAAAAAACTAAATGAGTTGAATCACACTAAATGGTCAGATGGAATTAGAGTCCAAAAGAAAAGGTCTTTGATACTGATACACTCACCACTTTCAAAGCAAGCATCAAAGATAAGATGTCCTTTCTTGGGCTGTCCACAGTATCCAGTTGGAAGCACCATATATTTGCTCACGTTCCCTCCGATGGCATCATCATTTCCCATATCATTGCCTATTTTTCAAAAAATTAGTTCATGTTAAACTGAAATCAAAATGTACAGAAGTCCAATAAAATTTTTATCATTAACTTTTCCCCCTTCCCTGTCATTTATTGCTTATCCAGGCCCTAAAAAAATTACATATTGTGTTAAGGTAGAAAGAGAATACATTTTTAAGTCAGAAAGACATGGGTTCAAATCCCATCTCTACTATATATTAATTCTCTGTGACATAAAGCAATGAACTTAATCCCTTTAAGCCTCAGTTTCTCTCATCCATAAAAAGGGAATGGTAAAACCCATCTTTCAAAATTGTGTTATGAGAATTAAATATGAAAAATATCTAGTATGACTACTGAAATACAGAAGATGTTCATTACATTTCATCAATTACTCAATAAATGGTAATACGTTAATTAACATAGTTAATTATTATATTGTGAATAAAGCAATAGTTCTATAACTAGTATTATAACTATGTAATGTTCCACCACCAGAAATAATTTGAGAACTACTGAATTAGCATAAAATGAATGAAACTTTCATGTATTTCTGGTAGAAATGTAAAATTATACAGCCACCTTGAAAAATAGATTAGCACTTTTTTTTATAAAATTAAATATACACTTAACATACAACCCAGATACTCCACTTCTAGATATTTACCCAAGAAGTATAAAAGCATATGTTCACCAAAAAACCTACACATGAATGTTTATAGCAGGTTGTTCATAATCAACCCAAAACTGGAAATTTTGCAAATGGTTTCAACTGGCAAATGTATAAACAATCTCTGGCACATTCATACAATGAAATACAGTTCAGCAAAAAAAAAGGAACAAATTGCTTGTTTAGGTCTTCTGCCCATTTTCGGATCAGGCTGTTTGTTTTTTATTATTAAGTTGTACAAGTTATTTATGTATTCTGGAAATTAAGCCTTTGTCAGTCTCATCTTTGCAATTATTTTCTCACATTTCATAGGCTGTACTTTTTGTGTTGCTTATGGTTTCCTTTGCTATGTAAGAACTTATAAGTTGATTAATTAGGTCCCATTTGTTTATTTTTGCTTTTGTTTCTATTGCCTAGGTAGACTGCCCTAAGAGGATATTGCTAAGATTTATGTCAGATGTTTTGCCTATGTTTCCTTCTAAGGGGTTTATAGTATCTCGTATTATGTGTAAGTCTTTAAGCCATTTTGAATTTATTTTTGTGTACAGTGTGAAAGAGTATTCTAACTTCATTGATTTACATGCAGCTGTCCAGTTTTCCCAACACCATTTGCTGAAGAGACTGCCTTTTCTTTATTGTATATTGTTGCCTCCTTTGTCAAAGATTAATTGACCAAAAGTCTGTGGGTTTATTTCTGGGCTCTCTATTCTGTTCCATTGATCCATTTGTCTGTTTTTGTACAAATACAGTGCTGTTTTGATTACTGTAGCTCTGGAATATTGTCTGAAGTCTGGGAGGGTTATTCCTCCAGCTTTATTCTTTTTCGTCAGTATTGCTTTGGCAATTCTGGGTCTTTTGTGATTCCATATAAATTTTAAGATTATTTCTTCTAGTTCTGTGAAAAATGTCCTCAGTAATTTGATAGGAATTGCATTAAATCTGTAGATTGCTTTGAGTAGCATGGTCATTTTAACAATATTATTTCTCCCAATCCAAGAACATGGGATATTTTCCATTTCTTTAAGTCATCTTTAATTTTCTTATTCATTGTTTTGTAGTTCTTCATGTATAAGTCTTTCACTTCCTTGGTCATATTTATTTCAAAGCATTTTACTTATTTGGATGTGACTTTAAAAGGGATTGTTTCTTTAGTTACCTTTTCTGACATTTCATTGTTAGTGTAAAGAAATGCGACTGATTTCTATATGCTAATCTTGTATCCTACTACCTTGCTGAATTATTTTATCAGCTTTAGTAGTTTTAATGTGGAGCCTTTAGGGTTTTCTATATATAGTATCATGTCATCTGCATGAAAAAATGCTTAATGTCACTAATTATCAGAGAAATGCAAATCAAAACTATAATAAAGTATCACCTCACACCAGTCAGAATGGCCCTCATTAAAAAACCCACAAATGATAAATTGCTGAAGAGGGTGTGGAGAAAAGGGAACCCTCCTACACTGTTGGTGGGAATGTAGTTTGGTGCAGCCAGTATGGGAAATAATATGAAGATTCCTCAAAAGACTAAACTAGACTTACCATATGATCCAGCAATCCCATTTCTTGGCATATATCCAGAGGGAACTTTAACTCAAAAAGATTCATATACCCCAATGTTCACAGCAGCACTATTTACAATAGCCAAGACATGGAAACAACCTAAATGTCCATAAACAGATGACTGGATAAAGAAGTTGTAGTATATTTATACAATAGAGTATAAAATATAATTTATACAATAGAGCCATAAAAAAATAATAAAATAATGACATTTGCAGCAATCTGGATGGACATGGAGATTGTCATTCTTAGTGAAGTAAGCCAGAAAGAGAAAGAAAAATACCATATGATATCATTCGTATGTGGGGAAAAAAAGGAACTTATTTACAAAACAGAAACAGACTCACAGACATAGAAAACAAACTTATGGTTACTGGGGGAAAGGAGGTAGGAAGGGATAAACTGGGAGTTCGAGAGTCACAGATACTAACTACTATATATAAAATAAATAAACAACAAGTTTATACAGTATAGCACATATATTCAGTATCTTGTAGTAAACCTATAATTAAAAAGAATATGAAAATGAATGTATGTATTCATATGTATGACTAAACTATTATGCTGTACACCAGAAATTGACACAATACTGTAAAATGACTATACTTCAATTTAAAAAATAAAAAAAGGAACAGATTACTGATATACATGACCACATGCATGAATCTCAAATGCATTACACTAAAAGGAAGAAGGCAAAGTCAAAAGCCTGAATCCTTTATACTTTTTTTATATGACATTTTTAAAAGGCAAAATAGTAGGGTTTTTTTTTAAAAAAACAAAAAAACAGTGGTTATCAGGGGCTGAAGATAGGGGTAGGGTGGACTACAACGTAATCAATCAAATTGTACAAGCAAATGTACACTACAATCAAAACTTTGAAGTCTTCTTCAACCCCTGACTATCTCATCAAAGCCATAAATATCTTCCTCTCACCTGCCAGAGTTGTGTATATGCATGCGTATGTGTTTAAGGATGGATGTCTGCAATAGCAACATGCAAAAGAACTCTTCCAGGATACTCCTCAAGGTACTCACACGGGTAGTGGAGGGGGAAAGTAGTTGCTAATATGACAACTACTAGCCATGAGAGAGTAACTAGGAGTAGATCCATACTCCTGCTATAAACAACTAGAAAACTGGACAAATACTTATGAAACAACTCTTTTCAGACTTGGATGACAAGCAGTACCAAACTGATGTCTGAGAGAAGGGGAAAAAAAGAGGTAAGCTGACAAAGTATGGTCTGAGTTGAGAGGGCAGAAATGAGTTAGGGAAGGCTGACAAAAGTTTGAAGGTCAGACTATTGAAGAGGGGAGCACTATGAGAGCCAGAGCATCAAAAATCTACAGAAAGTCAGCTTAACACTTTGGCTGAATGCTTAGCCATGTAGAATGAAACTCCATGAGACCAGACAAAGAATAACGAGGAAGCTGTAGACTAAACAACTCCCAAAGTGCACAGGGCTTGGAAACATTCAAAATGCAATTATCCAAAGTGGAGAGTCCATGTTGAAAACCTAGGGCATTACGTAGAGATCCCAGAAAGGTACTAGCCATGAACAATTGAAAAGTAAAATTTGAAATACAGTACCATTTATAATACCATAAAAAAAACAAAATGCCTATCCTTAAATGTAACAAATTATTTACAAGAACTGTATTCTGAAAACTAAAAAACATACTACTATTAGGTATTAAGGAAGACCCAATTAAATGACAAGGTATACCACATTCATGGATTAGAGAACACATTATTGTTAAGGTGACAACTTTCCAAAAATTTATCTCTAAAGGTAATACCAATCAAAATGTTACCAGCATTTTTTTGTAGAAATCAACAAACTGATTCTAAAATTTAAAAGGAAACTCTAAAATTCATATGGAAACTCAAAGGACTTGGAATAGTCAACATGATTTTGAAAAATAAGAGTTGAAGAGTTTACATTGCATGATAACAAGACTTACAGAATAGTCACATATACCAATGTACCAGAATACAAGGTGCAGAAGTACACCCACATATATTTAATCAGTTAAGTTTCAGCAAAGGTATAAAAATAAGTTAATATGGAAAGAATAGTTTGTAAAACAATGTTAGTGCTTGAATAACAACCATTTTTTAAATGAAGTTCACACATACATGATGGTAGTGGAGGGTCACATGGGTATATATTATATATCTTCCAAAACACATTGAATTGTACAGTTAAAAAAGATAAATTTTATTATATGTAAACCATACCTCAAAAAGATTATTTTTAAATGTTTAAAAGTGAAAGAGTAAGAATTGATTTTCATGTCACAGAATTAACCCCATATATATATGAATGGGTATTATATGTTTGTAAATTTTTCCTATGACTCATACCCCTCAAACCCTGGTCTCATCCCTCAGATGTAAATGATCTTAACTACTTCTGTTTTCAGTTTCTCAGTTATTATTCTACACAAAGTATTTATTCTTCTATATCTTAATTTATCAACTTCTTGGTATCTATTGAAACTCTATTAAAGATAAGGAAATAATTTGTGTAAATTATTCTCCACTTCTCTTTCTAACAATTTTTATTAGTTCTAATCTTATTTTAATTATTCTGTTGAGGTGGTTAGCAATGTGAGCAGTAATCCTAGGGGGTATTTTGGAAATTTATCGAGGCTTTTTTTTTGTTTTCATAATGATGGAAGAGCACAATGGCATTTGATTGGTGAGAACCAGGGATGCTAGATGTACTGTAAAGTAGAGAGAAGTCCAGTACAACTTACAAATATCATATATAGTCAG